AATGCATATTTTTGTGGATGTACGGGTTTTGGGGTATAGTATGTTTTTGCTTCAGTTGATGTTATTGTTTAATTTGCGCAAAATGTTGTATGTTTTCTTGGGCGGGGCTTCTGGCGGGGGCATTGTTGTTTTTGGACGGGAATTTGCATTCAAAATTTTGCATTGTACTACTGTTTGCTGTTGGCTTTCACATTTCCATTACACTAATTCATGTATTTTATTACACTTCCTTGCTTGCTTGCATTTGCCTTGCCTTGGATTTGCAAAAGGCTTTAAACATTTTGTGGCAATGAAAATAATTTATGCAGCAGCTCACTGTTTAATTGCCACACAATATACCTACATACACATATACGAATATATATGTATATGTGAGAGCTGCAACAGTTGCAAAGTCGGTCGCTGGGGTTTGCATATCTTCCAGCTGAGTAATATGATTATTAGTTCCACTCTGGGGCACAAACACAGACGCATTATAAATCGCACCCTCTAGCAGAATCCAACCCTCCTTTCTCCTCCCATCATCCTCTTCAGCAGCCTTGCAGGGTCCTGAGATCTGAGCCCCGACCAGTAAATTAATGCCAATCCACAAGGAACACTTCTTCCCCACCAACCGCTGACTGACAATAATTATGAAGCGGAAAAAGTTAATTTTTATGAGGGTTCCCCTTGAAATACACTTACATCATTAGCCGTATAATAAATCAGGAATGTGGCGTTAAAATTATATTGTATGTTTTTTACATTTAATAGCTTCTGGAAAATTTTATTTAAACAAAGCGAATTGCCTTGAATAAGGTACGAAGTTGAATACAATTTAAGGTTATTAAGTTATCATTTTTTGTGCGTAAGAGATCGTTGAACTTAAGCTTGAATTTTCATTTAAAAATTTAACATACAAATATTGCCATAGGAGAGCATTTTATAGCTTGCCGAGTTTTATCTTTCCGCTTATCCAAAGAGCTATTCTCTTTTGGAAAGAGTACAACTATTGCCAATGATTCATTCAAATGTCAATTACATGAACTTAAATCCAGGCCATGGGATCAAGGCAGTGGCAGTACACAGGAGGAAGGGCGGGGCTTACTGTGGCATACAGTTGACAAATTCAATTAAATAAATCTGTGAAATTCAAGGAGAAATAACTAAGCTCCAAGCTTGATGTTTGGCTCAAAGTGAAAATTACGAAACACGCAAATATTTGCTTAAATTAATCTCGTATGAGATTCAGTTGAATGAGAATGTGAATGTGAGTGTGCTGGTGCGTTTGTTTAACTAACTCTTTATCTCGCCGAGAGGCTTCCTGAAGCAGCCTGTCTTGGCCACAGTAGAATCCATAAGGTGGCGCCATTGCTTAAGCTTCTCCAGTCGCTCTTGTATCTCCTCCATTGATGGATACAGCGGCAGCTGCAGGGATTTAGGGCAGCTTCCTTTGAACACCAACGAGTACTCAATGTTCCGCATTTTCACGTTGAAGGCTTCGATGCTGTTCATTAGATTCCTGCGCGAGCGCTTCCATCGAAGCTTGGCGATGCTCAGACGCTCGAAAATATCCTGTTGCCGCCGACGGTACACCTGCAGTTCATCGGAGCGCTCGGCTTGTAGGTCCAGCAATCTAGCATAATCCTGGTAGCTGCACCTTTGGCTTCGAACACGATCCTGTAGGGACTGCAGGACTTTCTTCTTTCGCCAGGTTTCAGTGCACAAATGGCTGAACTTCCGCTCATAATCCGAGGACTCGGCCAATAATGACTTCAGCTCATCCTGGCAGTTGGTTAGCTCTTGCTGAAGTCTGTCCTTTTGTACCAACTGCTGCTGATCCGTAACCGTATTCAACTTCAACTCCTCTTTAAGCTCTAGTTCTAGGGCTTCCAACTCCTGCTGGAGAGCAGCGATATCATTGGAATTGCAACATTCCCGTAGTAGTTCATTTCGCTTATGCTGCTCTAATTGAAGACTGTTTTCCTCTCCTTGCCACAGATGGTAATCCCTCGCTATCAGCACAAAGGTTTTCTCATCATCCAACGAGTCTCCGACAAAGGGAAACACACAAATCGCATCCCGTTTTGTGCCGACTGCAAAATCCAATAGAAAGTCCAGCAGGTCCAGTACATGACCGATGACATGCTGTGTTCCCGGCATCAACAGCCAGGTCCTGTTCACCTTCTTGGGATACTTGAGCTGCTGCAGAGCTTCAATCAGCTGCTCCGCATAGCAGGCCTTACTCATCGACCCCACCGTTGCCCCAGAGAGGGGCAACAAATGCCTCACAATGCTCACAAAGTCCGCAATAGTCATCTGGCGCAGCCGTTGCTCCGTGCTACTGCCCCAACCCTCCAGCTCGTGCTGGAGATAGGCTGTGAGTCTTTTCAATTTCGGCCCCACCGACTCCTTGCCCTGGTCGTGCCGGAACTCCAGCCGTCGCTTTGTTATGCCTAACTTGGTTATGTAGGGCGATGCAGATGTGGATGTGTGCGGCAACAGCTGCTGCTTGGGATACGAGAAACCAATGGAGGGTACCAACAGCCTGTTTGTGGTGATGCCTGGTATTGGGGATTTGTGATTTTGGCGACCTATTCTCGATGCGGAGGCAGGGCGATGACATCTCTCTCTCTCATCTACCCTACGCCATCGCTCCAGTAGCTCCTTGGTGCGCACTGGCTGCGGCTCTGAGCAGGGTATGACTGCGATGCTAGGACAGCTATGGGTGTAAACAGTTTTTGGCATCAAACTTTGCTTTGTCTTTCACATTGTTGAAACATTTTACATACCGCATCTCTGGTGTTCTAGGTATGTCTCTGTCTGTCATGTTTCCGCATGCAGAGGATGGTGTGCGGGCTGCTCTGGATGCAGATGACGCCTGACGCTGTCTCTCTAGCAGTTCCTTGGTGCGCAGCGGAATCGGTTCCAAAAATATAGCACTTTCAGTAGTAGAACTGCGGAAATTTAGAATTTAGAATATTAAAACATTGATCTGCACGTACGTGAACTATTACTAACCGCATCTCTGGAGTTTTTTGTTGGCCTACTTTCGATGCAGAGCATGATGCTGTGCGGTTCGCCTGCCGCTGTCTCTCTAGCAGTTCCTTGGTACGCAGCGGACGCGGTTCCGAAATCAGTGCAAACCTACCAGGAGAACTGCTGAAATCTCGAAAATGTTACATTTATTTCCAAGTACACGAACTGCTACCAACCGCATATCTGGTGTTCTGGGTATATCCAACAAATCCGCAGATGTTTTAGGCACATCCATTCTGATCTTGCGGTGTTTTTTAATCTAAATTTTCACAATTCAATCTGTGGCGCACCACCAACAACAAATACAAACGATCGACAGCTGTCGACAGCTGATCATCCCTGTGAATGGCAAAAGATCGCCTGCTATCGATAACAATACTCGCCGTTCAATTTAAATGTTGAATTTAAATGGTTTCACATCAGGAAGCATTTAAACAAAGGACCTACACAAAACGATGCAAATATGCGATGCAGTGCAATGCGCAGTCAAACAATGGCATATCCATGGAATTTGGGGTCTGGTTAACTGCATTTTCCACCAATTATGTGCCACACTTCGCTTAGCTTATATGAACTTTAAAAATTGTATCCGTTGGCAAGGCAACGCGAAACGCCCAGGCCCCACTACAAATGCATAAATCATGAATGAAAGTGAAAATTGGTTGCACCTACCAGGCGCTCCCAGGTGTAAACGCAAACACTCCTCCTCACACGCTGAGAGGCGACCACCAAGCCACCACGCCACCATGGTTCCTGCCCTTTTCGAGGGGCATAATTACAAAACAATACAAGCGACGGGGGCCTGCAGCATCCTGGAGCCGAACACCATTCCATTCCATTCCCAGCGGCAAGCAACAAGCACAAGCACCAGTAGCAACAACAAAAGTGGCAAAAGGTGTTCGTGTTGTTTGGGGCGTGGTTGACTTTTTATCTGTGTTTTTGTTGCTGCTGTTGTTGTTTTGACTGCTGCGTTTTTGCAATTTAACCGCAATAAATAATGGAGAAGCTTGTTAAATTTCCCTTGCCCCCACACAAAACTCGGGGGAAAAATGTAGGTTAGGCCACGCCCCGATGTAACTATAACGATGATGTTATCACTGGGTCTTCCCTCCATTTGTGGCTGGATTCTGTAACCGATTTAGTGGCTGGGTGGTTCTCGTCCTCTGGCACGGAAATTCCAGTGTTTTCCGCGCATATTTCGTAATACATTTTAATTGCGAGACATTAAAAATGCAATGCCAGGCTGGCGCATACCAGAAATGCGCTTAAAATAATTACATTTATTGCCGCATCAGCACATTTAGATGTTGACTAAGCAGATGTTCGGGAGTGGATTTTTGGACATACCCCAAGGGAGGTATAAACCATTGAGAAACCGTCTCGTATATCACTAAATAATTTTGCATTTATTTTATATAATACAGTACACATTGCATTAAACTAAATAAAATCTATTTAATATATAATATATATCATATATATATATAATATGTAATCCGTACACAATCAACGCTTCTTCGCTCACATGCAAATATACGACGAGTATAATCATTATCGTTATAGTACCCCTTCGAAGAGGGTATTATACATTATTATATATACGTATACATACATATCGCTCCCGTTGATCCGTTCCTTTCCTCCTCTTTCACTACTTGTTTAGCTTTTGTTAACAACAATTATTGCTATTTGAATTTATTATTGATTTAAGTGTATTTTGTTTGCCTGTTTAAAACCCTAAACATATTTTGTTACGATTTGCGGTGTGTTTTCTTCGGTGTTCTTCATCTCACGATATCTTCTGCCTCTTCTCTCTTCCTCTCTGTATTTGTGTGGGATATATATATTTAAAATATAGTTCTATATATAAATATATATAGTATTTGTGATGTGTGTGTGTTTGTGTGTATATACGACGTTAAACAATTGAACATTTTAAAAACAGTTGCACCTTGGCGGCTAGTAAACCCAAAAAGTTCCCCTTTCTTTAACAATTTTCCGGTGTATATGTTTTCGTGTCAAACTATTTACAATGCAATTATAGGGCAACAGTAAGTGGGGGCAAGGGGCAGGGGACGAGGGACCAGGGACCAGGGCTCGTTGTAAAATTGAACTAGAAGCAAAGGATCAGAAGCGGGGGAGTGGTAGGGGTCGTTGCAATCTTATGGCAAAATACTCAACACTCGGATGCGATTGCGGGATGTAAACAATTATAGATTATAGATTACAGATTACAGATCTTTAGGTGGTAGCGAACATAGGAATTATATAGACACGACATACAAAAAGTGTTTCTGTGTGTATACAAAGTAATACATATACATATTTATACGTAAACGTAATAATAATAACAGTAACTATATCAACGCAACCATGGACGTTCGTTCACAAGGATATGAGGATGGGTGTATGGGGGGTGGGGGACAGGCGCTCAATTGGAATTAAACATTAATCAACAAACCGACCACAAATCAACTGCCACTCATTCCTGGCAGAAGCCTTCAGTCTCCTCAATGGCAAAGGTCAACTTCTCCACCAGCTGGTCGTAGCTCTTGTACGGCGGCAGATCCAATCGATTGAAGCACGTATGCGACCGCGGAAGCCAGGTCTCCTTGCCCACCTTCTCGATGCAGAAGCGCTGCGGTCCATTGGAGCCCATCAGCTCGGCGAAGCCACCCACAGGGACACGACACGTCCCCGTCACAAACTGCAGCAGACGGGCGCGCTTCTCATTGTCCGTTTCACGCACAAACTATGTGGAAGGAGATAGACACACACGGATTTAATAAGTAGAGGAACGAGAAACCCTCTGGGGGTTCACTCACCTGCCAGAACCAGACAACCTGCTTGGAGTTGCGATTGTAGTGCCTGTAGATGGTATTGCGCTGCCAGTCTTCAACGTCCACATCCTGCATGCCGCACAAGATCAGCTCCAGCTCGCGCTCATCAAAGTACTTGAGCCATTCCAATGGTACAACCTCATTGAAGCCCTCCAGGAAGGTTTTAGTCTGCTGTTCAATGCCACTAAAAGAGCAAAGAGAAAACCAAGTGAAAACCAAATCACTCTCGTTCATCCTTTCTGATAGTTTACCGTGTCATCCTCCATTCCGTCATAAGCGTTATATATTCTTCTTTGTTCTCCTCGTTCACACGCTCCTTTTCGCCATTTTCTTTCAGCTCGTGATGGATGATCTGTCCGAGGACTTCAAAGTCCACGCTGAACCACAGTTCCAGGCCACACTCATCAATGTTGTTGTCTTTTACCCAAATGAGCGAATTGTAGAATTCGGGATCAATTGTTTCGATATCCTTGATGGTCAGCTTTTTGTTGAGCATCCGCTTGTAGAAGGGCATCGTAAAGCCGCTGTAGATGAACCGTCCATGGTACAGGGCCATGGCAATGAAGCGTCCAATGAACTTGAAGTACTGCAGATGATCGGGATTCACATAGGAGGCGGGATTGATCTGCAAACTGTAGTTGTTCTTGTTGGCGTACTCGAACAGGCAATACATGGGATTGAGCACCTCGTGCGACAGTAGGAAGAACCACTCCCTGGACACACCACCGTAGTCGAGACCCTCCTCGCCGCGAAAGATTATGTACAGGCGGCGACGCAGCTCGTAGGCGGGCAGGCGCATTATCTGATGGTACGAGTCCTCGAAGAGCGTCTGTCGCGTCACCGTAATCTTGATATGCGATGGGAGGGCATTGCTCTGGCACAGGTATCGGAACTGCGACAACTTCCAGCGGAAGCTGCGCTCATAGGCACGCGGAACGCCATACACACCCTTCGCACCCTTGGGTGCACCCGGTCGCGGATCCTCGAAGGTGGTGCGCCTCGTATTGTGGTCCACAAAGAAACGCTCGCCCGCTGCCGTATAGCGTATCTCCCATCCGGGGGGTAGGGGGCCTTCGTTTATCAGGCTCACCTCCTGGCCCTGCGTGCGAGGATCCTCCCATTGGGTGGTGCGATTCTTGTGGTTCACAAAGTACACACGATTGTCCGATTGCACTTTTTTCTCCCAGCCATCGGGCAGCACACCCAACGCATCCTCATCGTCCTGCGTCACTTGGGCGGTCACTGCCGTCGGCTGCTGTTGCTGGGAGTAAAGGTACCGCTGATTGCCCTGCGACACTACATGCGCGCGCTGTCCCTGCCAGTGTTGGAAGTGCATCAGGCGCTCGCTGTTCGGCCGCTGCCATGTGGTCTTCCGTGTGTTGTGGTCCACGTAATAGACGCGTCCCCGCCCATCCTTACGTATCTCCCAGCCGGGCGGCAGCGGCGTGGGTTTCTCCCAATACGTGGAACGGGTATTGTGATCCACATAGTAGCGACGTCCGTACTGATCCAAGCGTATCTCCCAGCCAGCGGGAAGCGGCTCATCATCCGCCGGCTGTGGCTGCAGTTGGGGATCTGTGCTCTGACTCACAGGCAGTCCAATGCCCGCCTGCTGCTGATCCATCGGTACTCCTGGTCCCGCTGGCATGTAGACACCAGCTGGCGGGGGTGGATTCTCTGGCATTACGCCATTGGCATAGACCTGGGTCATGGGCCTGGGCTGCGGCGCCACAACTGGTGCTGGCGGCTGTTGAGGATAGGGTGCTGTTTGCGGCACAGCCGCTGCTCCTACTCCGCTTCCATTGACCATCCTTAGGGGTTGCTGCTGCTGCTGTGGCGGCGGCTGTTGCTGCTGTTGCTCCCACACTGGTGGGCCTAGAATGGCCGCTCTGGTATCCACACCATTCGCTCCCAGTGAACGATTGGCGAGTGTCTCCGGATTGCTATTGCTATTGCTTGAGCGCAGCCGCATCCTGGCCCTCACTCCGCCGTAGATCATGCAGCTACGGCCAGCTGCGGCTGGATCGGTTAAAGCCGGGTTCACCGCCTGGACGGCATTGCCATTCTGTTGGACCTGCAGCTTGCTCATGTCCAGCTTCAATCCGTTGAGTATGGCCACAAGTTCGCCGCTCTTGGTCTGTCGATTGTCCGACTTGGAGGTGACAAACAGATCGATGGTCAGCTCCAGGAACTCACAGCGGCCGTTGTAGTGCTGCAGGATGTGGGCTAGATTGATGATGCGCTCCCCCAGCATGGCATCTTTGCGGAAACTTGAATGATCCAGCACCTTAAAGTGCAGCGTGGAGTGGGGCGTGATCTACAAAGATGGCAAATGGGTGAGTTTCACTTATTTGAGCTTTACTTAGTTCACTTACCAGCACTGTAAACTCTTCATTCCATTTGGGGAGATAGCTATTCTTGACCTGATCCGTCTTTCGCTTACTTTTGCTATCGATCAGCAGCTCCACATAGGGATTTGGCTTGAGGAAGCCATTGTTGCGCAGTGAGGCCTCCTCGACTGCAAAGCAAAGAAATGTAGGATTTGAGGTTTCTGATTGAATTTCTTTCTTCTTTTGAGACTCACTTGTCACGCTTAATTGATGATATCCTTGATTGGCAGCACTGCCGCCACCGCCACCGCCACTCCCATTACCACCGCCACTGCTGCTGCTCAAGCTGCTGTTGCTAGCACTGCTGTTGCTGCCACTTGCGGCACCCACACTTACACCCGCTGGATTGCCCACGGTGGCTGTGGCCACACCGCAGTTTAATGTTTGTCCGCCCTCGATGATGCCACCAGCACCGGAAGCTGCACCTGCTGGCAGCCCATTTCCATCGGCCATTTGTGTCGCTTTTTGTGTGTGTGTGTTTGGTCGTCTCCTCCCGGCTAGCGACTAGCTCCTGACTCCTTGGACGCTGCTCCTTCGGGTGCTGCAAAAAGAAACACACAGAAAATGTGAAATGTTGAACGAACTTCGCACCAATTTCGTAAAAAGCCCCCAATTGATAACAACTGATAAGATTGGTGGTGACTATGCAGGTGAAGGCTCCGACCGAATGGGAGTTCAAGGTTCTTCTATTCTTATAAATATTTTAAAGTGCATTTTCAGCAAACCAAACTCACTTCCGTTGCAACAAAATTACGCTGCGAAAACTGGAAAACTCTTTTTTTTGGCTGGTTTGCTCTTTAGATCACGTAAAGGCTTTAATCTTTTGCCAGCTTTGGAGATAATTAAAGCTCTGTATATCATTATGAAAGCGAATACCGATAAGATAAACTCTGTTTAACTATAGTAGCTGATGTATAGTATGTACATTTATACGACAGTATGGCCCCACAAAAAAATAGCCTTCTCTTTTTTTGCAAAGCTCTGAAGTTTGGTTGGAGAATTCTGTTGGGATTTCTTCGATTATTCCTCAGATACGTGTAAATCTAAGACCACTGACCAGGCCTCAGCACATGTCACTGTACCCTGTTAAGCCCTTTCTCGATGGATAAGGATAAGGAATATTAAAAGATATCCTATAGGAGTGCCCTCTTGGGGCGGATATCTGCCTAAAACAAGTAGAGCAAACTAGAGAGCTTCACAGACTTATTGGTCTGAGACGGACTGTCCATAAACTACCGATAAAATCTTAAGTTTTCCCATTATTAATAACACCACATCGATCTATTGAAAGTGAAACCTTAAGCTCCCCCTCTCCCTCCTACTTACGGTCACAGTTCTGTGAAGCACCGTACCTCATGCTATTAATTTTTCGCCTTTAATTTGCGGCTGTCACGGTATACAATGTACATTTTCCCCAGCCAATGGGCCTGGTCATCCATAATTTTGATAGCAAACACCCAGACACGCCGCAGGCAGTGCACACACAGCACACAGTAGAGCAGACACAATGGACATACACAATAGATTGTATAATACTCCGGTAATGCGGGGGCCGATGGTGTGACTCATCAGCAAAAGGGGGGGAGGGTGTGGGAAACAACGGTAAACCATAGTACCTATACAGTTTCGATTGTTGAATGGACATTGCATATTGCATATTGATTTGATTGCTGCTTCGTTTGCTTTTGCTTCTGTTGTTTATTGAATGCAATGGTCGGCGATATCGCCTCAAAAGTTTTCTGAGAACACGTGAAGAAATGTAGACAGACGTATGTACAAGTATATTTTTGTGGGAGAGTGTGTGTCAAGTGCCAGGCAACGACGACAGTTTGTTCAATTATGAAAAACGGTCAACCATGTTGAGAGGCGCCAAAGACAGCTGTGATTACAATTGTAGAGCGCTTCGAACAAAGTCTGCTTGGTTTGTTGATATTTAATGCAAACAGCAGAGAGGCACATCATTTAGAATGCAATTAGCACTGGCCTTCGCTATGCTTTGACAGCTTTATCTTGGGCAAATATTATGTGCAGAGAATCTTATCAACAAAACGTCGGATGTACATATGTATAAAATACAGTTCATATAATAACAATATCAAAAAACGCTCTATATGGGTGTTAATTATAATCATTGTACATATTCTGTGTCTATTCATTTTATAAGAAAATCGGATTGTAATGGATGGATGGATGGGTATCTAATGGCTGATAAAGCAACTTTCTATAGCTTTTCTAGCGCTAACTAGAGGCGTAATTTATCTGGGATTCAGCAAATTCTACAAGCAAAATTCTGCTTCGCTAGCATTTAGTCTTCCGACTTTCGAACGAGAATCTTTGTATGAGTAGGTCGTTTTTGTGGATCTCCTGATTGTCAGATACATCTACATGCACAAATGATGATTCATGAGTGATGCCCCATCTAGCATGCTTCATGCAGAATATTCTAGATCTAGAACGCGTGTGGCATACTGCACGAGCAATACAATATACCCTCAGAAATACCGCTTACTCCGTAATGGTGATAGTAAATACTTGAAAACAAAGAATCGAAGAGTCGCCTGATAGGGGACGGACTTATCTGCGAGGGAAGCACAGGCGGCGGCGGCCATTATGGGCAGAGTGAGTGCACTAGCAGCAGGAAAAGCGAAAATGTGTAATCAGCGAGGCGAGACGCAAAGAGGGAGACAGACACAAAAACAGTTGCAACAGCTGGCGGGCCCGGGTTCCGCAGTGCTCCCAGGGCAGAGGGGCTGAAGTTGTCAATAAATCAAGCGACAAAATGCATTTTTAGCGGCCGGCGGGTGAGGGGGTGGTATCAGCGTTAGTGCACCTGAACTACACACACACACACACACATATACACTCGTATCAACTTGAACTTCCATGACGCTGCCGCTTCCATATAGAAATAGAGTATCGACCGATTGGTACACGCACTAGCGCACTCACACTTGCACACCCACACATACGCCGCTACTTACAATTACAGTTACAAATATTCGTGGTCATGTAACGCACGCCAAAAAAAAGCTGCTCCCTCGCTCACACATATGCATCCACACATGTGTGTGTGTGTGTGTGTGTCACTTTTTGTTTGTAATTGAGGCAAAGGTCGCGGCAGGGTATGAACCGGCCCTTGCCAGAAACACCAACAAAACACCTTGGAGAATGTTACCCAAATGGAAATTCCAATGCACAAAGGTGTTTTGCATGCCTGCAAACAATTTCCATTTTCATGTGTACTAACTGGGGGTCTGGCGTTTTTTTTTTCACTTACCTTCTTCTGGCGCTACTGCTGCTGCTGCTGCTCCTATAATTTGTATGTGTGTGTGCTCGTGTGTATTGCTGGTTTGGTAGCTGGTGGGTTCTGGGCCTGGTTTTCTTGGATGTGCTTTGCGTTGCGTATTTGTTGCACGTTTATCCGCAAAGCAGATGGTTTTCCGCTGCGTACTTTCTGTTATTTGATAGTGTAGAACTAATAGTTTATTTGTTATTGTTTTTTTTTTTGGTTTTGCAGCAATTTCGTTGCCAGCTTACAAGTCACAGGTGTACCGTACCTACGGAGCGTCATTTGTTATTCGTTTCGAAGCCATCTCGTCATTTTTGCTATCCTATTTACCTTGTTTTTTGTTTTGTAAAATTTTAATTTCTGCACTTTCCACTTTTAATCAGTGTGACCGCGGGCTTATCTATAAAATATACCGTCCGACCGTGAGAAATATACCAAAAACTACCGCCTCATTTTCAAAATATACCGTAAATATACTGACGAACTCAAGTTCTATTTTACATATTCCTCGTTTTTAATATTCCGTCGATTATTACTAGCTATATAGAACATTTAGCCATTTTATACGATTAAAGAATCAATTTTCTACAAGATTGGATAGTTTTTAATCCTTGCTTTTATTGTATTTATTGTAAAAAAGGGTTAAACGAAAAAGTTCAACAAAAAAAAGAGTCGCAATGTTGCTGGTATTTGAGGACGTGATGCGTGTATAGCCTTTGTACACCCTATTTTGTTAATTTTATATGAAGATCAAACGTAATTTATCTACACCTTTTCTCAAATTGATATTCTTTAGACATATTCAAGTACATTATTAGTATCTTGTATATATTAATATCGATCCTGATACCTACTGAGCCTTGGAAGACAAACGTATTCACAATTCTATAACATCTATTTCCCCCAGGGTATGTGTGCATGGAATTAGCAACATGTTTGTGTATGGAATGAGACTCATTGTTGCAAAAGCAAACTGCGGCGAACTTAAATGCGATTCAAAAAACGACCAATTCTTTGTTCCGTTGAAAAATACTATCTATATAGAACATTTAGCCATGCCCATTAAATTTTGTACGCTTGATGAATCAATTCTATACATGATTGGCCTATTCGAAATACTTGCTTTTATTGGATTTCTATATAACATTGAAAATTAAATTAGTAGATTGATGAAATTGACAAAAATACCATGGGAGCGCGGCGAAAACCAGTATTTCTACAGTATAACCCTCAAAACAGCACCGATATATACCGTCTCATTTTCAATATATACCGTAAATATACTGACGAACTCAAGTTTTATTATACTTATATATTATTATTATATTATATTATAAAATCGTGAAAAAATGGATGGCTATATCTCGGCTATTTATGGGCCGATCGGCGAAGGACCAACTCTCGCAGGACCGTGAGGATCCAGACTGTCGAACGGCATCAAAATCTCGACTACGAAAATGAGGCCGATTTTTTGAAAATTTAATGATGGTTACATCATGATTTTTTGCGAAAATCGTGAAAAAATTGATGTCACTTTTCCGATGGCAATCGTTTCGCAGGACTCTCCCAATCACGAAGAGACATGCCGCGCCCCAATCGGCTGCCGTATAGCCGAGATATAGCGTACAGAAAACCAGTATTTTAATGGTGCACATCCAAACTTTCGGGAGGCTATATCTCGGCAATTTATGGGCCGATCGGTGAAGGACCAACTCTCACAGGACCGTGAGGATCGAGACTGTCAAACGGCATCAAAATCTCGACTACGAAAATGAGGTCGATTTTTTGAAAATTTAATGATGGTTACATCATGATTTTTTGCGAAAATCGTGAAAAAATGGATGTCCCTTTTTCCGATGGCAATCGATTCGCAGGACTCTCCCAATCACGAAGAGACATGCCGCGCCCCAATCGGCTGCCGTATAGCCGAGATATAGCGTACAGAAAACCAGTATTTTAATGGTGCACATCCAAACTTTCGGGAGGCTATATCTCGGCAATTTATGGGCCGATCGGTGAAGGACCAACTCTCGCAGGATTATTAGGAACCAGACTGTGGAATGGCATCAAAATCTCGACTACGAAAATGAGGCCGATTTTTTGAAAATTTAATGATGGTTACATCATGATTTTTTGCGAAAATCGTGAAAAAATGGATGGCTATATCTCGGCTATTTATGGGCCGATCGGCGAAGGACCAACTCTCGCAGGACCGTGAGGATCCAGACTGTCGAACGGCATCAAAATCTCGACTACGAAAATGAGGCCGATTTTTTGAAAATTTAATGATGGTTACATCATGATTTTTTGCGAAAATCGTGAAAAAATTGATGTCACTTTTCCGATGGCAATCGTTTCGCAGGACTCTCCCAATCACGAAGAGACATGCCGCGCCCCAATCGGCTGCCGTATAGCCGAGATATAGCGTACAGAAAACCAGTATTTTAATGGTGCACATCCAAACTTTCGGGAGGCTATATCTCGGCAATTTATGGGCCGATCGGTGAAGGACCAACTCTCACAGGACCGTGAGGATCGAGACTGTCAAACGGCATCAAAATCTCGACTACGAAAATGAGGCCGCTTTTTTGAAAATTTAATGATGGTTACATCATGATTTTTTGCGAAAATCGTTAAAAAAGGGATGTCCCTTTTTCCGATGGCAATCGATTCGCAGGACTCTCCCAATCACGAAGAGACATGCCGCGCCCCAATCGGCTGCCGTATAGCCGAGATATAGCGTACAGAAAACCAGTATTTTAATGGTGCACATCCAAGCTTTCGGGAGGCTATATCTCGGCTATTTATGGGCCGATCGGCGAAGGACCAACTCTCACAGGACCGTGAGGATCGAGACTGTCAAACGGCATCAAAATCTCGACTACGAAAATGAGGTCGATTTTTTGAAAATTTAATGATGGTTACATCATGATTTTTTGCGAAAATCGTGAAAAAATGGATGGCTATATCTCGGCTATTTATGGGCCGATCGACAAAGGACCAACTCTCACAGGACCGTGAGGATCCAGACTGTCGAACGGCATCAAAATCTCGACTACGAAAATGAGGCCGATTTTTTGAAAATTTAATGATGGTTACATCATGGTTTTTTGCGAAAATCGTGAAAAAATGGATGTCCCTTTTTCCGATGGCAATCGTTTCGCAGGACTCTCCCAATCACGAAGAGACATGCCGCGCCCCAATCGGCTGCCGTATAGCCGAGATATAGCGTAAAGAAAACCAGTATTTTAATGGTGCACATCCAAACTTTCGGGAGGCTATATCTCGGCAATTTATGGGCCGATCGGTGAAGGACCAACTCTCGCAGGATCATGAGGATCCAGACTGTGGAATGGCATCAAAATCTCGACTACGAAAATGAGGCCGATTTTTTGAAAATTTAATGATGGTTATATCATGATTTTTTGCGAAAATCGTGAAAAAATGGATGGCTATATCTCGGCTATTTATGGGCCGATCGGCGAAGGACCAACTCTCACAGGATTGTGAGGATCCAGACTGTGGAATGGCATTAAAATCTCGACTACGAAAATGAGGCCGATTTTTTGAAAATTTAATGATGGTTACATCATGATTTTTTGCGAAAATCGTGAACAAATGGATGTCCCTTTTTCCGATGGCAATCGATTCGCAGGACTCTCCCAATCACGAAGAGACATGCCGCGCCCCAATCGGCTGCCGTATAGCCGAAATATAGCGTACAGAAAACCAGTATTTTAATGGTGCACATCCAAACTTTCGGGAGGCTATATCTCGGCTATTTATGGGCCGATCGGTGAAGGACCAACTCTCGCAGGATCATGAGGACCTAGACTGTCGAACGGCATCAAAATCTCGACTACGAAAATGAGGCCGATTTTTTGAAAATTTAATGATGGTTACATCATTATTTTTTGCGAAAATCGTGAAAAAATGGATGTCCCTTTTTCCGATGGCAATCGATTCGCAGGACTCTCCCAATCACGAAGAGACATGCCGCGCCCCAATCGGCTGCCGTATAGCCGAAATATAGCGTACAGAAAACCAGTATTTTAATGGTGCACATCCAAACTTTCGGGAGGCTATATCTCGGCTATTTATGGGCCGATCGGTGAACGACCAACTCTCGCAGGATCATGAGGATCCAGACTGTGGAATGGCATCAAAATCTCGACTACGAAAATGAGGCCGATTTTTTGAAAATTTAATGATGGTTACATCATGATTTTTTGCGAAAATCGTGAAAAAATGGATGGCAATATCTCGGCTATTTATGGGCCGATCGACGAAGGACCAACTCTCACAGGACCGGGAGGATCCAGACTGTCGAACGGCATCAAAATCTCGACTACGAAAATGAGGCCGATTTTTTGAAAATTTAATGATGGTTACATCATGATTTTTTGCGAAAATCGTGAAAAAATGGATGTCCCTTTTTCCGATGGCAATCGTTTCGCAGGACTCTCCCAATCACGAAGAGACATGCCGCGCCCCAATCGGCTGCCGTATAGCCGAGATATAGCGTACAGAAAACCAGTATTTTAATGGTGCACATCCAAACTTTCGGGAGGCTATATCTCGGCTATTTATGGGCCGATCGGTAAAGGACTGACTCTCGCAGGATCGTGAGGATCCAAACTGTCGAACGGCATCAAAATCTCGACTACGAAAATGAGGCCGATTTTTTGAAAATTTAATGATGGTTACATCATGATTTTTTGCGAAAATCGTGAAAAAATGGATGTCCCTTTTTCCGATGGCAATCGATTCGCAGGACTCTCCCAATCACGAAGAGACATGCCGCGCCCCAATCGGCTGCCGTATAGCCGAAATATAGCGTACAGAAAACCAGTATTTTAATGGTGCACATCCAAACTTTCGGGAGGCTATATCTCGGCTATTTATGGGCCGATCGGTGAAGGACCAACTCTCGCAGGATCATGAGGACCTAGACTGTCGAACGGCATCAAAATCTCGACTACGAAAATGAGGCCGATTTTTTGAAAATTTAATGATGGTTACATCATGATTTTTTGCGAAAATCGTGAAAAAATGGATGTCCCTTTTTCCGATGGCAATCGATTCGCAGGACTCTCCCAATCACGAAGAGACATGCCGCGCCCCAATCGGCTGCCGTATAGCCGAAATATAGCGTACAGAAAACCAGTATTTTAATGGTGCACATCCAAACTTTCGGGAGGCTATATCTCGGCTATTTATGGGCCGATCGGTGAAGGACCAACTCTCGCAGGATCATGAGGATCCAGACTGTGGAATGGCATCAAAATCTCGACTACGAAAATGAGGCCGATTTTTTGAAAATTT